CTGACCTTGGGAACGGAATTCGTTCTTAAACTGTATATCCAATGGAAGAATTCATAAAGAAAATACTGCCTGATCAGATTATCACTGAATCCAGAGAAGTTAAACTACTAGCTAATGAAGTAATATATAACAGATTGATTTCTGATGGCAGTTTATCCTGTTCTGCGACTGCAATGTTCTACATTGTTTTTACCTGTATATTTTTATGACAACGCACAATTCAATGAAGTAAAGTTCCTGTAAAGTAGATTATAAATCCTTAGAATAAATTAGATCTTACATTTCTTCCAGGGATTTTAAAATACACAAGTTTCAAGAGACTGTACCCACAGAAATTAAGTAAAAAGGAGAAAGCGGCTATCAGGGAGATTATCCAAAGTGAAATACTATATGACCCCCTAGTGGTGAATCATTTGTTGCAATAAACCATTTATTTATGTAATGTTATAAAACTATTTGAAAAATTACAAGCTTTTTTGTTTTAATGTAATATACTTAATCTAAAAACCTAGCCTATTGTTATTAATTTAGAAGGGTTGAGGAACAGATTTAGCTAAAACTACTTAAAAACAACTTTAATCAAACTCAAAAGCAACACTAATTTTGAACGTTATCAGTTCTCAATGTTTTACACTGAATTTGATGGAGTGATTAAAAAGAATATTCTTTTAAAATAATACATTTGATGGAACTAACATTAAAGCATTTCAAAGCAAATGTTTGCAAAAGAGAAAAAATAACTACATAGTAAAATCAAATTTCTAGAATAGGATTTCTCATAGAACCACTATTTTTAAAAAATAATGTATTCTGAATCTGCCTTTTTCTATAAAATTAAAACAGTATATTTATTACATACTTGCTTACCTTTAGTCAGCTGCTTGGTTTATATTAAAAATTGTACCTTTTTTCCAAATTACAGTGGATAATACTCAAGTTTAGCCAAAACTAGTCTGGCACAAGAATCAGAAACTCCTATGTACATCTTTCCAGGGAATAAAATACAATAATAATTAAATAATAATTTGCTTACATTTTGCAATATCAAAATTGTTCTAAATAATGGTAGGGTTGGGCCTGTTTAGACCCTCAACTGCTGTCCAAAACAGTTAAAGATGCCACTGGTTCCCATGGATCAAGTATAACTTCAGAATACTACATAGGTTCAAATAAACACTGTGCTATTTAATATAAGGGTAAAGTTGCTCAAAACCTGAGCTTACATCCCATGGAATAGAACCCAGCACTGACTTTACAGTTCAATCCTGTGTAGAAATAAGCCCTGCTAGGTTCAAAGATCTGTACTTTCAAATACCAATATACAGAATTGCATTCTTAACCATGTTTTCCCAATTTGACCTTTGTTTTCATATTATTACAATTCCAAAAGATTCCCACTTAATCTAAATCACATACATATGTGATGCTGTCATTCCCTTAGATACAACCGTAATTTAATCTAATTTAAGCTTAAAAGTATTTTAAATTTGCTCTTCATTTTTCAGAATTATGAATTTCCTTTAATGCTAGATGTACATTGTGAAGCAAGACAGAGACACACATGCCCAGTAAAGACCATGCTTACATATGAATATGTTTTTAGTAATTCTTTCATTGTAATTTCCACAAGCTTATTTAAATTTAAATGCGAACTATCTTAATGGTAGAAATAACATACAGAAATTCAATAATGTTTGAATTCTTTGTAAACAATTAAAAATGGGGGAGATTTATATACAAAGGTAGACTTTTCAGTCCAAAGATCTCACCGAGCCTTGTCCCAACCATATATCAAATTGTTCTACTACGCAAAGCTTACCATACAGAAGTCATACGACTTATAAGCTTCTCAGTCTGATCTGACACGTCTCTAGGAAGAATAATCTCAACTGGCTGCAGGCGTAATATTAGATTTTCCAACTCTGAACGAGCTACAGAATCTTGAAAACTGTCAAAGAGAACCTCTCCTGTAGTAGGCTGGACAGCCTGAAAAAAGAATAAACATAGCAACTTCTTATATTATTTTCAAGATACAGTAACTCTGTGCAACCCCAAGGCATCTTATTTCTCTCTTCTCTGTAGTACAATAAACCAACATAGTTATAGAATGATTCTAAAGAATGTTAATTGTATTATGTTTTGATTTACTAAAAAAGAAAAATGTCCACATCAAGTTGCTATTATTTGTCTTCAGCCATACAGGTGTCTCAAGGTATTTGCAGGAAGTACTTAGCAGGCAAGCAGTTCCATTCAATTGGCCTGACTAACAACCATTATTAAGATGACTCCATTAATTGTTTAAAATGTCTAAACTAGTGAACATCACTGCATGTGGTACAATTCATATCGTATATTTGTTTCATGTTTGTACTGAGGTCCTTTTCTATTTATGATCTTGCGTTCAATTAGTTTCATCAGGTTATTCCAAATCCTGGGATATCCCAAAATTAACTAAATCCAATTTTGATGTTCCTCAACATGCCATCTTACAGATACACTGGATTATGACTTAAATGAACCTCCAGCCAGCTAAGGCAATGGCCCTGTTGTAATCTAACACGAGAGGAGGGGCAAAATCAATTGGGGAAGATTGATATAAACTGTCAAACTTTCATAGTTCCCAAGATTTTCTTATATAGAATTGTGTTTGATCTGAGTTAGTTCCATTTCATTTCTGCTGAAAGGAACACTTCAGTGGGACACTTTAGCCCTTAACCAATCTATAAAATCTGTACGTAAAACAAACAAACAAACCTGAACCTACTACTCTATAGTATTATATTACTCCATAACTCATTCTCATACTCATTCTGTTAGAATGCAGTTTTCCCACTTTTTCTTCCCATTATCAGTCTCCCCAAAACTATTTCTGAAGGATTGGGTAAAAGGATTAGTTTGGGGCATGGGTGGGAAGAAAGAACTCACAAAATTGGACAGAAGTCCTTTCAGTCCCTCCATCCTACAGCCAACCCACTCCTGAAGGGTACTCTGACCCTTAGAAAGTTTGCAGAGCCAACAGAAAACCAACAGCTGAGAAAGTCACTTTCACTGCTGATGCAGCACTGAACTAGAACAAATTATAGCATTTCTACTAAAGTACAGGTGGATATATTGTTAACAATTACAACTTCTACAGCTACAATTATAAATTAAAAACTCTTTAGAAATGCTTACCACTATGCCTAAAACAATGTTGTGATTCTTTTGGTTTAAATTTTCTTTATTTTCAGAGATACAGAGAAGATAATTATCCCAGACATTAGATGGAATTTCCTCAGCATCCATTGAATTATCCAATTTCAGCAGGGGATTCAAATGTACCAAGTGTTAAAGGAAATTAATTTTCTACACAGTCCTTACATAACCCAAATATTATAGTATACTGGTCTGAAATTGTTACCTTTGCACGAGACCATTTTGTGAAGGCTTCTTTCTCTAGTTAGATGGATGGAGATTCTACATTATGAAAGTAGAAAAATGTGTTTTTCTTTCTTCTTAATTTATTTTATAAACCTCTACTGTTGCTCCTGTCACTTTTTAAAAAACCAAGAATCTCCGAATGCTTTTTTATTTTCGTAGATTGTATTTTAATCCCCCTAATCATTTTTCCCTTAGCCCTGTGACTAGGGGAAGCAAACAGACCACATCACATTTATACAATGAGTTTTATATAATAATCTATATAATAAGATGCTATTTGAATACATGGAACAACATAATAGGAAAACCATCATCCCTAATTTGGGAAACTCTGTGGGCAAAACAGATGAAGCACGTGTAAATGTATCTGGAAGGATAACAGGAGGATATTTCAGACTAACAAGAAGAGGTATGGGATAATAAACATCACCAAAATAATTCAACACACTTAATAAAAGGATATCTTCTCCTAGAAATGTAGATTTTGTATACAGTGAAGTTAGTTTTCGGGTAAAAAGAGAGCTTTTGTTCTCTCCAACAGCCTTCAAAGCAGCAGTTTCCATTTGCTTTACTACTCCTACCTGCAAGAAGCAGAGAACATGAAACACTGAAAAACATTAAATAAAAATAAATATCATGTTAACTATTGAACTATTTCCACAAACCGGTGGAAATCAAACCTATTAATTCAGTATATCTGCAAGTGTTTTTCCTCTGGGATTGAGGAATAGTGGACCTGTGACATAATATCATGCTTAAACAAAAGAACAAGGATTTCTTCTCTATTTTATGTACTGCAATTCACCACGCAAGGGAAAAGATAATAAAAAAGCAAAGACAACTGAAGAAAGTCTACTGAAATACTGCAAGTACTAGCCATATCAACTATTTACCAATTTCAATATTCAATACAAAATTAGTATTTTTGGTGCAGTGAACTAGTTTCTGAAAAACCCTTCGAATATGTACATTAATCCAATTCCCTCTTCCCTTAATTCTGTAAGTTTCCAGAACTATTTTCACCCCTCCACTCTTAGTGTCTTTTAAACTAAATGACTGTACCTCATAAACCATAGTAAGTACTTATCCAGGCTCTAGCCAGTTATGACAAGCTCTAAGCTTCCTTTCAGCATAAGAACTTTAAAGGGAAGAGGGAAAGTCCTATTCCTACTCTTCTTCTCCTGCCATAAAGGTAGGTAGGACACAACAACTGGGTTAACTGCATACTTACTTGGTGAGAGCAGAGATGTAAAAATAAGAAGCCCTTTCTCTGGCTCTGAGGTCAATCAACTTTTCTCTGCATCTACCAAATGCTAGAGCTCAACTGTCAAAAAGATGCAAAGGATCTTAGCAATCCTGTATCAACTTCCAGCTACACAAATATGTTGTATATCATGCAGTTAAATTCCACTAGCCCATGTACGCACCAAGCTGGAGGGAACAGCCAAGAAACACTGATTTATAACTTTGTACCATATTTCATAGGTACAACATATGATCAAGTAGATCCTACTCCTTCAAAATATATCTTGACAATCATAACATTCTGGTCTGACTTGGTAGCCAACCTCTGATCATGTAATGGTATGTGGGAATGACCTTGGGAGACGGGAGGAAGAGATGCTGCCTAGGGAATGATCAGATGAGAGGGGGAGGAGCCTGCAGCTGTGTAACAGCTAGAGAAAGAAACTCAGAAAGGAACCTCCCTAACTTATCAGGCTGTAAAAGAGATGGCGGGAGATTTGTACTTTCAGACTTGCAAAATTCTGTTAACCTAGGCTTATAATAAAGTAGAAATAGCTCATCTGGTCGTGTTTCCTCTCTGGTCTACTTGGGAAGGCTAACAGATCATGACATTACATTTAGGGTCACACATCACACCATTAAGCCATGGATCATTTTAATCATAGTGCAATGTATAAACTATAATGACTGGCTTAGTCCAATGTGATCTGTATTCCCAATCTACATTAGCATTATGTTACATATTCACATGGATCGCCATAGCCCATGGTCTCCCAAACTTTGCAGTACTGCAACCAACTAAACAATAAATGAATCTGTATAAGCCCCACATGAATATAAATAAATAAATAATAATGCTGTTGTTAATTAAAGCTTAATTAGCTTTAAAAAAAATTGTGATCTTCCCTAAGTTGCTTGTGATCTCCTGGAGGGCCACAACTCACAGTAAGAACCCTTGCTATTACTAGTTATTTTAAAAGCCATGTAGAGAAGCAAAGAGCTGCAGTTCAGTCACTGAGCATTTGTTTTGCCAGAAGAAGTTCAAGGCCCCTGCCTAAAATCGTGAAGACCCTTTGCCAAACAAAGGAAATAGTATACTATGCCAGATGGATCAATTATCTAATGATATAAAATAGTTTCCTATGTTCCAAGCCAAAGTCATACATCATAAATAATATGAACAGCAAAGTAACTGGGAGAAAAAGCACACAAACAATATTGGAAGATTGCATATAAAATCAGAAGAATGAAATGCATGCTTTGATTCTTTCAAAAGCAAATTTAGTCAACAGTTTTGGCTTGGAATTATAGCTACAAACTCCTGATCAAATTAAGAAGTAGGAAAGGGAAATACTACCAGTTAAGATCACTTAGTATGGAATATTTTTTCGAAAACACGTAACTTTGAAAAACAAGCTTACATAAAACTAGAATTATATATGTAGCTTTAGAACCAAACCTTATATCCCTTTGCTACAAGACGGTGAACATGAACGAACAGTCTGTGCGTTGGTATACTGGCAGTCATAAAGTTGTGATTTTTATGACAATATATATTCAGCTCCTTAGCAGCAATCTATAAAATATGATGGTAATTAACAATTTATTCTGGTAGCAGTATATATACTACAAAATTCTTATGTGCATATAACAACCACTTAACGACATCTACTGAAATATACTGAGTAGTTTTAAAAGTCTCAAAAGATTAAATAAGACTACAACCTTATTAACATATTACAATTTATTAACATATTATAACAGGTATGTTGCACGTATTAACATATTATAATTATAATGTCTAGGCAAGCAGAAGCACAAAACAGGAAATTACAGTAGATAGTGGTTTTTTTTAATTCTAATCTTTGTCAATACTTACCTTATACTTCAAGCATATTTTGCAATTAAAACATATACCCAAATATAAACAAATTTGTGTAGAATACTTGGCAAAATTCAGTCTTGCAGATAAGTTGTTAAATAAATACGTGAGTATTATTTGGAGCCAGACCAAAATAAGCCATCTGGGCCAATGAAACAGCATGCCGTTGCTGCTGCTGCTGCTGTGGACATAACCTCTCTGCCAAGATATAAACCAATGGCTGCTTATAGCTCCTATCTTACTTGGAAGTTTGTAGAAATACCACATTCTACCTTCTGCACATAACTCTTTCAATAATTATGCACAACATTAGTAACAGCAACATGTAACTGTAACAGAACGCCATACAGAGAAGTGCTTTACCTCTGCATCATCTCCAAAAAATCTGTACTTATAACCACACTCAATACATAGAATAGCATCCTTATACTGCTTTTTTAGTTCTAGGAACTGGAGCTCAAGAGGTGTATATACAGTTTTGGTGGGTTTTTTAAAAGTTGTATCTGATGTATTTGGGGTGTTTTCAAATCTTGTATTCATGGTAAAAAACTGATAGACATTTCTTCCCTGTATGTGAAAAGAAAACATAAACAAGAAAATATTTAGTAAAAGTACTATTATTCAGGCAGGAGGAAGAAATTATTATAGATCTGAACTCAAGCTCAATGGTTTAATTTCACATCATCCTACCTTCATCAATTATAAATCAATGACAGAATGCCAAGTCGAACCCAGGAAACAAACAGAATTGGAAGCCCTCTCAAAGTTAACACATAGCGCATAAAAGCTAAGAAGGTGTTTAGTTGGAAAGACAACAGTAGCCAACAACCTGGTGGGCAACTAGAAATGTTATCAGAGCAGACATGGTGCAAAGCACAGGCTGGACAAGCAATTTAGAGAAGCACTTGGACTAGAAAAACAGAGGCAACAGATAGGTTATGAAAGGCAGAGTTAAATGTTTTGCTCCAAGATGGAACACACTGAGAATAAGGTTGAAAAGTTAAGAAACTCTAATAATCATTAGTTACTACTATGATAGTGCTTAGTCTGTCTCTCAAAAAGAAATGGTGTACCCATCTTTATTATTATTTTTTCCTCAGGAATTAAGCTCTCTTTATGTCACTCCTGTTTTATGGATGCATTTTACTAAATTATACATTGCACATTTACAACAATGCTCCAGCACTGATCATTTTCTAGCTTTGCATGTATTTTTTTTTCCAATTATACCTTATCAAACTTTTGCAATTTTCCTTTGCCTGGTTCCCTTTTCATTGCCTAAGTATATAATGTACTTTAAAAGATCAAAAACTAAAATAAGCAAATGTTAATGATAATTTAAGTGCTGTTCCAGTAAGAAAAATTGCAATCATTTTTCAATAGATATATAGAATTATAAATCTATAGTTACACAGCCTTGCAAATCAATGATTTATGTTGCAATCCTATAAGTACTTTTCTCAGAATAAGCTTTGTTGAACTTAATATGGCTTATTTTTATATGAATAGATTCCTTTGTTTTAGGAAATGCCGAGATCTATTAAAATCATTACTTAATCCCCTAAGGATTAGCACAGCAATCTCACAGGGGATGGGTGCAAAAACATCTATTTCTCACTTTTTCCACAATCTATCAGCTATTCCCAGTTAAAACAGAAGATGGGAAAGAAAAAAAGTTTTCACTACCCCTTTTCCCTGTTGAAGCATATTTTTTTTTTTTTCCTCCTATAAATTACAGTAAAAGGGAATTGTCCCATACTAACTCTATTTGGCATAGATTAAAGATCCAAATTACCCCTTCTCAGGGAACAAAGCAGCTTTAGATCCAAAGCCAGCTCTATCATAATTCAGGACCTTGAAACTTCTACCCTGGCAGAAGGGATCTCCTCAAGATCTATATCCATCAGAAAACAACTGGGATGTGCATTAGGATCACATATTAAATAAGACAGACATTTATGATCAACAAGTACAGGTAAAATCTTCTTCAAGGGGAATTCAACTCCTGGGAACTTCGGACATGTCAATGTAATTTTCTTAGCAACAATATACTGTAGAAGTAGCTTGCCACTGCTTTTTTTCAGTATGTTTTTCCATCTTCCAGTCTATCATACAACCCTGGGATTTCCTGGTGTTCTCCCATCCAAGCACTTATCAGGTACTGTGATTTTACTTTGCTTTTCAAAATCAGCCAAAGTCACTGAAGTGCTGCCACCTATAACAATTACTTAGTGCTTATTCATGCTATTTTGCATATTACCAGACTACCATATATGTATATACAGTGGGGCAAAAAAGTATTTAGTCAGCCACCAATTGTGCAAGTTCTC